ATATCAAATATCAGTGAATCTTATAATTGATTATTGACCAAAACTGTACAGTAGATAAAACCATCATGTTGGTTGTGGTTTCTAGCTGAGTGATGAACAGGTCTACCATTAACTAGTCAACTGACAATATTAAACAGTTTCCAAAACTGCTAAATTTTTAAATAAAAAAAATGCCTGTATTTTTAAAAAAGTCTTTCAAAAAGAGGATTCTGGTTTAAGGATATAAATCCTCAGCTTGGAAAATGAAAAATGTTTTAAAAAACTGATCTTAGTTTAGAATAGAAAGTTTAAGGAAAAACTAATATGGCTACCAAAACATGTAGATTCAGAAATTAGATCCTAAGATTTTATAATGATATGATACTGCTCAGTATGTTATTAATAGAGATATTAAAGTATTAGCTGTTTTTTCATGTAGTACTGGGTTTCAGCTTTCACTTTCTACAGACTGCTCAACAGTTATCAACCTCTGCAAGAGCAGATGTTAATTTGTCAATTTTGTCCAGAAGAAATGCAAGTAATTGGTGGGTATAGTAGCTCACATTTGTAACCCCAACTACTAGGGAGACTGAGATCAGAAGGTCAGCCCCAGACAAAAACACAAGTCCCTCTCCAAAGAATAACTAATGCAAAAAGGGCTGACGGTATGGCTCAAGTGGTAGAGTGCTTGCTTAGCAAGCACAAGGGCATGAGTTCAAACCCCAGTACTGCAAAAAACAACAAAAGATAAACAAATAAAGTGTTTATCAATTTCTGTCCAGAAGAACAATGGATAACATCAAAGTCTGCAACTTATGAATCAGTAGGACATTTGTATGTTAAGACTTTTTACATTGCTCTTACAAACATCTGAGAAAACTTGAGGGAGGAAGGATGTATTTTGGTTCTTGATTTCAGAAGTTTCAGTCCATGGTTGGCAAGCTCCACTACTTTGGGCCTGAGGGAAGACAGAACACCACAGAAGCAGCAGGAGTGTGTGGAAGAGGAGTTCATCTTACAGTGGCCAAAAAGCAAACACAGCAGAATGTAAGTCTTCCTTATTTCCTTCCCTTTTATTACATCTGGAACCCCAGACTACCGGATAGTGCCACCCATGTTCAGGAAGGTCTTCCTACTTAGTTAATACTCTCTCAAAATGCCCCCACAGACAAACATAAAAGTGTACTTTACTAATCTCCTAAGCAGCTCAAATCCAATCAAGTTGACAATCAAAATTAACCATCACAAATAGTTTTGCACCTTACTTGGCAATTTTATTCACCTAAAAAACCCTAAATATCTCAAATACTCTTTGAATCATACCAAACAAACTTCTGGTAACCTCATTAAGTCATGACTTGAATACTATATTTGACTTATGCTCATTTTATATGTGCATAAAAGTCATTATTTTACCTTTTAGAATACTGTACTTTAACATATGCTGAATCGACTTAGGAATATAGAGGGGATCTTTTCTGATTTTTCAGCTGGTTGAACTCATAAATACTTGTTAATTATTTTCAAACACCCATCTCCATAAGTGTTCTAATACATGTGGATATCACTCAGCTTATACATTCCATAATATTCAAAACAGCTATCATTTTACCAAGGAGAAATCTAAATTTCAGAATTGCCCCCTAAGAACTCTGAAACCTAATAACTAGCATAGACAAAGGGAACCAGAATAAAACAGTATAACTACAGAAAAGAAGAAAAGGTCACTACTCTACACAAGTTTTTCAAACCTTTGCTAAGTTCTTTTCAAGGAAATAAAAACCATGAAATTTTTAAATAAAGTCTTATGTAAACATTACCATTTCCTTTATTTAGAATTAAATGACTAAACCGCAATGTTATATTAGCTAGCCATATCATGATTCAAGAAGTTTGAAGAGAAAGGTATTTCCTATACCATCTTTAATCTAAACATTTGTGAAGGTCTTCTTTAGTCTGGAATATAAGTTATGGAAAGAATCAAAACTTATTGCTCTTCTACTCTTAATTCTTCCACCTACAACTAAAACACATTCTTTCCTAATGTGTTTTTTGTTTTTTCTTAGCAGTACTGGGGTTTGAACTCAGGTCTCATGCTCTACCACCTGAGCCACTCCACCAGCCCACATTCTTTCCTAATATACCATTCCCAAAGAACACACACTGAGGGAAGCTTTTCCAATGTGGGCACTCAGATGTTTTATCTTTTACTCATGTTAAGAAAGTGTGTGCAAGATCCAGAAGGAAAATGTGTCTCTGCATGCTTGAGATTCGCATGTGTTAATACACATACTATTTTGATACTTCTGTTTATACTTGTCTCTTAGAGAATACTTTTCTTATTAATGAAAAATAAGTTTCTGAAAAACACTGAGAATAAATCAAACTAAATGGACCCAGAAGTGTTCCTGACAAACGTGTATGAAGTCATTGTTATCAGATCCTATCATTAGACAGACTTTTAAAAAGAAAAGGATCAGATGCAGAACTAAGAAAAGAGAAAAAAGCAATTTATAATGGTGTTGTTGCCAATAAATAATAATTTTACTGTCATGAATGACAAAAAAGAAAAGGCAGGTGTGGATTCTCTCTTAGTTTGAGGCCAAGATTAATGCTAGTTCTACTTCAATTATATCTTGTCATTAGATAAGGCTCTAGCCTCTATCACCTAACAGTGAAATCTGTTCAGTCGTCAGGTACAATGTGCTGAAGGACAGAAAGTACTCGGATATACTATTCTCATTACTAAAAGGGTAGCTGAACAGGTAGGTATCTATTTCAGTGGCAGAAAAGATATACTGAGAAATATAAAAGTTAGCAATGAGAGATGAACATTCAAAGGTTGACAAAAAACATACTGGAGAAGTGAACAGGAGAGAGATCACCTAGAAAGAACAATTTAGGAAATCATGGGAAAACTGGGTGAAACTGAAATGACCACTGGGTGTTTATTTGATGAACATTGTGGAAAGCTGGCAATAAATTTTTATTATAGATAACTCTATAAAGTAAAACATATTCCTTCTTATAGGAACATTGGCACTCATAACAAAGTTACACTTTTAAAATTATGTAGAATATAAACAAAAACACAGGCTAATTACAACAACCCAATTATACAAAATAACATCAAGGAAAATAATTTTTAATTAAATAAGAATCTAAGTTGAATTTAATTTTATCTATAAGCTAAGTGTCATTTAATGGCTAGTGTTAAACTACCTCTTAAATTTAAATGAATATGTTTAGTGGCAAATTAATCAACATTTGAAATTACTCTCTCTTTAGGACATGGGGCTTTTCATAAGTATCTAGTGCTTATTTACTTGGGAAAATATCCCAGTGAATCTCTTCAATGTCTAAGAGAAAGCAAACTGATACAAGATGCTTTAACACTTCTATTTTAAAACAATAGTCTATGACATTAGATCAAAGCAGACAGAAATTCCTTTATTTTATCCTCCAAGATGCAAGAATCTAGTTATATTAATTCATATAGCATAAAGCCGAACTAGGCATAGCATCTCTGAGCAGATACCTATGCTCAAGCAGAAATTCTCCTCTACTCAGCTTTAGTTTCTGAACCACTGGCCCATGCTCCCTTTGCATTCTGTCAGAGTAACACATCCTATGTGCCCTGGCCATGAACTACCAGTCTAAAGCACTCATTCTCCATTGTTCTGAAACTTGAGACAATCCTCCTGGCTTCAGCTATTACTCTCTTCTCTCACTGCACTTTTTCTCTTTTCCTTGGGATGCAGTTTCCCACTCAACTATCAGGAGAATGCACTTACTACTGCATAATCCAGCAGCCTTGGCCATTTTCTCTTATGAGATTGGTACACACTCTTCCACCAAGTCCATGTAACAGTCAAGTCTACCAACAACAAAGTTGCAAGATAAACTGGAAAAAATTCATGGCTTCTACTCAGGATACAGAAAGCTGGAAAGACACTGCTCCAACCAAAGTAACTCTAGAGAGCTTTGAAACCTGTGGTATACTGACGAAAGTAAGAACAAAATTGAGAGACAACTCACCTCCTGGCTAAAATAACTCAGTACTTCCCCTGCCTGCTAAAAGCCTAGCAGAGGACAAGATGGGCCCATGTGCAATCACAAATACTACTTACCCCTCAGTCTTTACTGTCTTAAACAAGACACACAATACAAAATAACAAGGCACACACAAAAAAAGCAAGCAGGAAAATAAACCACTGTAAAGAATTAAAGCAAATCATAAAATCAGAGTAAGACAGACCCAGATATTGGAACTATCAGATAGAGAATTTAAGATAATTATGCTATAGAGATTGCAAGGTAATAGGAACAGATGAGGATTTTAGCAAAGAGACAGAAACTACAGTAATCTTTTCATATCTTTTGTTTCTGAATACAGACACATAGATTGGTTTCTGAACACAGCAGACACCAAAATTTATAGATACTAAAGTCCCTTATATAAAATGGCCTTCTATTTGCATATAACCTATTTTACAAAATTTATGGCAGACATCAAGTCAGAGAAAATCAAATAGAATAAATATCAAATAAAACACATCAAGAAATAATGAAATAAAATTGCCAAAAAAACAAATTAAAAATGATAGCTTGAATGCAGCCAAAGGAAAAAAAGACACATAAATATAGAGGATCAAAGATATAAAAATATCTAAATATAACATATAGAAATTAGGCTCTATAACTTCAATTCCAAAATGTATAGATTTCCTTGTATTTATTAAAATTCCTCTTGATAATATAAAGAAAATTTTTAAATAAAAAGGTTCTAGTTATATAAAGTAGTTAATAGTGATATAAATGAAAATAAGAAAAGTTTTACAGTCTATGAAAGAATCATAATCCAATAAACGAGTATCTGACTGCTAACTATACACTAATTATAGCATTACTTAAGCACTAACTAAACATTGCTTAGTAATCAGTCTAAACAAGATTAATATCACCAAAACACTACTTTAAAAAATATAATACTGCTTTTGCTTTTTATAGATTATATTTACCTCAAAGCCAAGTCTATCTTTTTCTTTCCAGAAACAAAAATGTGTTACTTTCTTATCCCAGAATTCATCTGGCTTCACTACACAAACAAGGGACACCTCAGCTGGAACAACATTCTGTAAAATACAGAAAAACATATGCAAATTACAAATGGAAAATGAATAATTTAATAAATTTACAAATTATTATTCATGATTGTGCTAAATAAGAGATTTGGTAAAGAATTAAAATAATAAGTAGAAGGAATTCCCCCAAACTTTAAAACACAAATAGCAATCAATAAAGATAGGAAAGACAAGCTATTCAGGAAAGATTTCAAAAAAGGTTACATACATAGTGCATTTGAATTATTTTTTCTTTTATTCAATCTCGCTAATAGGAATATGTTTAAACTGCAAGATACCTTTTAGCTGGGAAATTATTAAAAATGTTTTTTCTGTGATATGAAAGAATCTCTTCAAAGATATGAAATCAATTTTCTCATAAAGCAAGTTTCTTATCAGCCATACAAAGAGGTCAAGATTCTCCATGATTATTAACTTGAAGTAGATGGAATACAAAGAGCTAATCTTTTACCGTATACAACATCATGTTGACTAGGTATGGTTATTTCCTACATAAAGCATGGAAATGAACATTTACTGACTTAATAAGTATTTCATGTATATTTTATAAGGAATTCCCATAGGTTCTAAAATATAAAATACATCTTAATCTAGCCATTTCTGCCACCTGTATTACTAACATCCTCAAACTAACCAGCTTTATAAAATATTCTTATAACAAAATAAAATTCAAACCCCTCCTCAAGGCCTCTGACACCCTCTAAGCTCAATCCCTATTGACCACGGGTACCTCACCTTACACTTCCCTCCCCTAGGCCTCTCCTCTACTACATTGCTCCCAGAACATGTTTGTTCTGCCTCAGGACTCTGCTCATACGTTTTCTTCTGTTCAAAGTGCTCTCTGCCCTAGAATGAGTGCTCCCTCAGTTGAAGATTCTATTCAAAGGCCTCAAAGAGACCAACCTTGTCTGTCCTATTAGAAGTAGCACTGTCCTTTTAGTATTGCATTCTTTATAGCATTCATCACCAAATGATGTTACACTATTTATTAATTTACTTAATTGCTCACTGTCTTACTCTTTAAATGGCACATGAGCTTCCCAATAGCAGGTACCTTACCTACTATGTTGCCCCTGTATTTCCAGTGTCTGACATATAGAAGACACGCTACAACTACTTATTGAATACACAAATCCTCATTTAGAAATGCATATTTTTTAAACTTTAGAGAAGAGTAATTTTAGCTTCTGAGAACTGAAGTAACTTCTCTAAGCTCATGAGTTAAAAGAGTAATGGAGCTAAAATAGAAACCACATATGACTCTGAATTCTACCACATTTCATAGGTGATCACTGGTCAATAAATTATTTCTGAAAGGTCCAGACAAAAAGTATTTTAGGCCAGGCATCGGTGGCTCACATGTGTAATTCCACCTACTCAGTAGGCAGAGATTGGGAGGATCACAGTTCAAGCCCACCTGCGCAAAAAGTTAGCTTGTCTGGTGGTACATGCCTGTCATCCCAGCTGTGCAGGAAGCATGAATAGAAGGATCATGGTCCAGGCCAGTCCAGACAAAAATGAAGGACCTATCCCAAAAATAAACAAAGCAAAGAGGGCTGGGAGTATGGCTGAAGTGGTAGATCACCTGCCTAGCAAGCACGATACCCTGAATCCAAACCAGAGTACCATCAAAAGAGAAAAAAAAAATTTAGGCTTTGCAGACCATATACTCTCTGTAACAAGTACTCGATTCTGATGATGTAGAGTGAAAGAGGCTAGAGATGACATGTACATGATGGGCAAGATTGAGTTCCAATAAAGCCTTATTTAGACTCAAAGGTCTCACCTCTGTTCTGAACAATAAAGGGCACACTAAATAATAATTTCTTAAGGAGGAAAGAGAAACTCTTATGATGTGAACATGTTACTGGGTATGTCAGAAATCTACTCTCTCCCAATGATAAGGTAAGCAAAATAAACTGAAGAGTGTCAAAATCATTAACAGAGAGGCTAGAAAATTTAGGGTAGATTTGGGGTTTATTCACTTATGGACCTGTGGAAAATTAGCATTTCAAAATCAATAAAGCACAAAAACTGTGCGAAACAAGAGAAATAGAGCCCCTCTTTGTAGAGAACACTAGTCACAGATGGAGGCTGCTCTGAGGTCCAGATTCCCGAACAACTGGCACCAGCACCTTTGGGATAAATGCAGACATGAGTGGACATGTCTGCAGAAACAGCTTAAGTAGGAATTAAAAACAGGCCATGGTAACTTCTGAAAAGGTTAACTATGAATAAATGCAAAGCTGTTAAAATGTCTATCAGAAAATAAATTCATTGATTGTTCTTTAGAACTGCCACTGATCAAAGTCCAGATCAGACAGCAAGTCCAAAGTAGATAAACTATGACACAGATGAATGACTGGATAAAAGGAAGACCACAGATAAAATTAATGGACTTCTCACCTAAGAGTAATTTTAACAACTTTTACAGAGAAGAGATAATCTTCAGGGTTTGGAACATATTTGACAGAAAAGGTTATTATGGGACACTGACCTGTGCTCCCTGAAAAAAACTGGTTCTACAGAGGCTATGCCTTTCTGACCCACAGAGGTGGTCCAACAACAGAAAATTTAGGTCAAACACTTAGGAAGAATGAGGCAATGAGTAGACAATTTAAAGGTCAGGTAGAATACATGCTACTGCTAAAAAATACACTTGGTAATGGGTAAAGCCAAGGCCTGGTGCTTAGGCTATGCTTCCAATTTCAAGTTACTTAAATTCCTGGTGCCTCAGTTGAGCTTTCGAGATACGTAACTCTGCTCTGCAAGGTTGTGAGGCTAAAATTAAATGAGATAACTTTGGGGTGGGGGCAACTGGAGTTTGAACTCAGGGTCTCAAGTTTAAATGAGATAAAGCAAGCTTAGCACAGTACCTGAGCCATAGTAAGTGCTGAAACTAAAACTAAAATTACCATTTTGTTCTCACCCCTTGATCCTTTTATTCCATTATTCTAATTAAATGATCAAACATTAAGAATCATTCTTAGTTATCACTTAAAATTTTAAATTATATTTTTAACAGAACCCTAAAGCACTATTAATTATTTCTCAATTTAAAATTCTTGATCCTCCTTTCAATATCACCGATATTCACTTAACTAAATGTTCACTACCCCATGTGACTGCCAAATTATATTTTCCCCAAGCTAGTCTCTTATCAACACTTCATTGAACTTGCATCATTTTTTTGTAGTAAAGTAATAGTAAAGCTTATTAGGAAAGGAATTTAGTATCATGGGATAAAAATAGAAAAAAATGTGGGAAAAGGGGGTAAAACATTCCCTGCTCCCCATGTACGAAACGGGAGTAGAGACTCTGAATTTGTTTCATTGTTAAGTTATCAAAAGTCATAGTCCCTGCCAGGATTGACTTTTCATTTTTTTCCATTTAAATTTTGACAACCTCTTTTATTACCTCAGATTTTCCCTTCTCTAGAAGCCCTTTTAATGAAAGTCAGATGCGTGAGAGCAAGCCACCCCCTTTCAATCACACAAAAGTTTTATTTTTCCATTTCATATGATATTTTCAATGCCCTTACAATAAATCAACAAATGTTTACTGAATACCTACCACATGCCAGAGATGACAGCAACATCATTGAGGAACACAAGGAAATAAGAAACAAGACTAGGGTCAGTTCTCAAGGACTTTGTAACTTATAAGCATTCATTAGGTATTAATATGTGAGCCTCTGGAGTCCTGGAGGGCAGTTATTAAACAAATTTCTTCTGGATTGTAAATAAATAGAGGGAACATCACGAATCTTGATGATGTGGAGAGGAAACAAGGAACCTGCATGGACAGACATGCCTGACTCACCACAAAGCTTCTTCAGAGTAGACTCACAGTCCTACTTCCTCCCTCTCCTATGGGAATGGAGCATGGGAGCCATGACACACATAACACAGAGTGCAGAGCTCCCCACTGAGGCTGGTGATGTCTACCTTTCACACTTTAATTACTTCAACATGACATATTATTTTCAATCATTTACACCAGGGTTGAGATTTACTTCATCATACAAATTCAAACATAAAAATCAAGCCTAAACAACACAATAGTGTTATGTGTATTTTTAGAATTAAGTCACTGCTGAGATGCCTGAGCATGAAATACCTTTTCCATTTTCATCATGATTTGTTGCTATAAAATAAAAACCACTGCCTGACCCCCCCAAAAAAAAAATTACCTGTAGCATTAAGACTACTGTTTTCACCACATTCCACTGCGATTTTCTACCATCCACAATCACGGTAAATCCTCTAGCCTTACACTTTTCACTGAAACAAAACAAAATTACAATGTATTAAAACAAGCTCCATTAATTCTAAATAAGGAAGGTAAAAAGCTTAATAATACATGGAGTCGAATTCACTTTACTTGGTTTGACCTACATTATCCATAAATAAAATTCTTTAGAATACTTTTTCAGTTTTCTAAAGCAATTTGTTTTTCTCATTTCAGGAAATGTTAATCCACAAGTTCGTATGGAAGAAAATTACTCTAAAAGCATGTAAAGTTAATGTCTTAAAAAGTGATGAAGTTTAAAGCAATATTCAAGCAGGCCCACTAGTCTCCCAATTTCTCCATCTGTACAATGGGAATCAAAGTCAGGCAGGGAACTAATGGTTGCCAAGAATCTTACATACTTCTTGTCTCTTCTTCCTGCCAGAAATTCAAAACTTGTGAAGTGATAGTGTAGAACAGGTAGAAAAAATAATAAGTTACTATTAAAACATTGGAATCTGGCTTCTTGATGCTCTTTGGGTGAAATTCAATGAGATGAGGTAGTACTTGCTTTACAAAATGATTCAAAGTTTTAATATGCCATATCTGACCCATTTTTGCTCTTACTTTCTCATTCTCTGTCACTTGACCAAGAAATCTTAAGTGCTATAAAATGTGTTACTGCTATATTATATTCAATTATTCAAGCATTTAGTAAACACTTCCCAGAAGTCTACTTTAATAAAATGCAAAAATTTCACATAGAAAAATTCCAACCTAAAGACAAAGACTACATTGCTATAATTATTGCTAATATTTTACTTACCTACTCAGTGCCAGGACCTTGATTACCCTCCCTCTAATGTAGTGGAAGGAAATGCAGTCTTGCTTATAGAGCAAGGATTTGGTAGTGAAAGCTCTCCCCATGTAAGTTCCCCCAATTACATGTATTATGGGAAAGGTAAACAGCAAGTCTCTTCCTAGGATTTAGACTTAGCAGCCCAGGAGATTTTACTGGCTCTCCTCCCTCCACACACTCACATCAGTCCCAAGAAGGTTCTTGGAGAATTAATGCATGTCCATTCTACTAAGAAACCATAAGACCACAAGAATGAGGATGATATCACTAAACTTTGGAGTAGGAACAGGATCCTCTGTAGATAGGGACATAAAAAATAAACTGAGCTTCTGAAGTAAATAGAGAAGTATTCAAGAGGTAAGGCAAATTAAAGCATATGTTCACACAAAAACTTGCACATCAATGCTTGTAGTAACATTAATTCATACTAGTGACAAAGTAGACATGAGTCAATGTTCATCAGCTGATGAATAGAAAATAAAATGAGGTATAGTCACAAATGAAAAATTAGGCAGTCATAAGAAATGTATCTGATACATGTTAATATATGGTACAATACAGATAAACCTTGAAAACATGCTAAGTAAATGAAACCAGACACAAAGGGTCACATATTGTATGATTCTACCTATATAAAATATCCAGAACAGGCAAATCCACAGAGACAAAAGACAGATAAGTGGTTGGCAGAAGCTGGTGGTGAGAACAAAATGGGGAGTGATTGCTAATAGGTACAGAGATTCTACCAGACTGATGATAATTATTAGAAATTAGTGCGATGGTCTCCCAATCCTGTGACTATATCAAAAACCACTGAACTGTACACTTTATTAAAAGGGTGATTTTCATATGTGAATAAAATCTTAGGTAAAAATATTTTAAGCAATCAATTTTTATTTGCATTACAAAATAAAGGATCCATTTATTGGAGGGAGGAGTGGCACATACAGCTACCACAAGATAACCACTTGTGGAGGGGAGCAAATCTGACACCTGATTACTAATTGTGGGCTCAGGTTAGGAGGCCCCCACCAACAAGACACCTAAGAAGACTACGATGCCTTAGAGAGGACACAATCCTAGAAAGACTAGCTAGATAGGGGACTGGTTGTTGAGTGGACTTTGAGAAAGTGTCAATAACTCAGGGACTCTCTCAATGCATTGTAAGTTTGCAGGATCTAGAGCTAAGACACACAGCTATCAAGTGAGGACCTTCCCACATACCATTCCCATAATTTGGTACTTCCTTATCAGCAACATTTACATGTTGAGACACAGGTTACACAACCATTTTTGTTAAGTAAGTTTTAAAAAAACAATACATTTATATTTCAATGCATACTATAAATTAATTTGTACATTAACATTAAGAGAGTAATGAACCTTGCAAATAACATCTGTAGTTATCTTAAAGGAATGAAGCACCAAATTATCTTTTAGAGTATTTAAAAAACACCCTTAATCATAATTTTCTCGCATTTTACTAAGACAGATAATGAAAATATACACAATCTAAAGATACTACTTTAAAATTGCAGTATGAAGTCATCTGTCAAATATCTGAAAGGAGATGGTATTTTATAACTTGATTCCTACAAGTGATGGTTTAAATTGCTTTTAACAACATATTTAACTTAGAAGCATGTTATGCCTCTATGTGTTTATAAAGGGTATGTTGGAGAACCAAAAGTGCTATTAAAATTACTATACCACTGCTAGCATGTTTATGACTGCATTTTTACAGCAGCTAAGGAAAAAAATATTTAGGACCCTGCCTCTTTGTTCCTACTCCATTAGAACTGTTCAAGGATGGTGTGACTAACTTAAAACAGCTCTGTGAAAGAAATGAGGATCCCAGCCCACTCACTTCTGAGGGGTTTCCTGGGGTCAGTATCCTTCTGCTCTTCACTGATTACTTTGATTGTAACTAAAGCTTCTTCTCTTCCACTTTCAGAGTTCTGCTTATACTTGCATAATGGCACCAAGTGTATTACACTTTTAGTATAATGACTTATTTACAATTCATCCTCATTAGGTAACAGGCCTCTGGAAAACAGGCACATTCTCTTACTAATATCTTGGCAGCTTCTGTATCAGTACTTTAAATTTAGAAGTCCTTTGAAAATGTGAGATGAAATGTATGACATCACTCCTGAGTCAGAACACAATGGCTTTCCTTCCCATTCAGAACTGAAGCCTTGACCACGGCCCACATAGTCCTCTGTGACTGACTCCAGTCTCTCCTTCTGAACACCCTGCTCCTCTCTCAAACTGCTCCAACTATACTAGACTGGCCTCTGCACTTACTACTCCCTATCTTGAATGTTCTTTTATCAATATCTTACCTAAGACCTGCTGCTGGTTTCAATCATCTTTGATAAAATGTTATCATTCGGTAACTGTACACCACCCACTCCCTAACTACTGCTGCTTCTCCTAATTTTTCATGCTCTGTTTTCATAAGCATTCAGGAATCCCTAACATACTGAGCACACATTTGTGTATCTGTTCGTTGACCACCAGGTATCCTGACCACTGAGCCTGCTTTGTTCTCCATCTGCTCAGCACCTAGGACCATGAGGAACTCCTTGTAGCTCTCATGCATTTACTCAGTGACAAAGGAGTTAAGGTCTTAATGTCTATGTGATATTCAGCAAGTCATTAAACCTCTTCTTTCTGGTGCTTCTTCCTTAACATAAATAATTTTTTCTACACTTAGGAAAAACTGATTTAAAAATCAAAACTTGAACTTTTAAAGAAGTCAAAACTTGTTAAAATGTGGTGGTAGCCCAACAGATGTCAAATTTCTACTAAGAATAACTTTTGCAAGTACTTGGAGGAATTTCTATAGAAAGGACTTAACTAAAGTGGTGAGACTAGGATGACTGCTTCAGTACATTCTAACCCTAAAATTCCATGATTCTCTAATTAGTTTCCTAGCTCTCAATAAGTTTCCTTTGAGCTAGAAAATACTACGATTTTAAATACTGCTGGATATACTGTTGAAAGATGGTAAAACAAGTAGGGAAGATGTCCAAGGTTTCTTTTATAATAATATACATGCCAGTTATTTTCATGTTAATTATCAGTTTTGATAGATCCCGGTTTTATGTGAATTTACAACAAGTTATAAATAGATATGACACTGTGCTTATAACAATGGTAGCTGTATCATGGTGATTAGAAACTCAGGCTTGGAAACAGATCACTGGGTTCGGATTCCATCTCAAGCCCTGGGTTGCCACAGGTCTATGTTCCAGTTCCCTCATATGTAAGATGAGGATAAGGATGACAGTGCTCATTGCAGAGTATTATGAAAATTCAATGTCTAAATTTTCCCTGTTATTTCCTTAAATATGGGGTATTCTTTTTGTATTTACCTCCCAACCATCACCCATAAGGAAATCCTAGGGTCTATTCTGAATTTGAAGTTCTAAAATGAAGGTAAGACCAACTCAGCCAAATTTATTATTCATCAAATAACTTCTTCTGAACTAACAATTTCTGAATGTTAATTTGGTTTTCCAACAAATGTGAAATGTCCTGACAATGGTCAGTTACCAGGCCAACTAAGCCCACATGTGAGTATGCACAGCTCTAAAGAAACTGAAGCGGTAAAATGTACCATGAAATAGAGGGCAGAAACCTGTGCCCATTGACTACTGACCATTAACTAGGAATAAGATCCTACACAGAGCTGGAAAAAATACAAATCATAAGGCACAGTTTCTCTCCTCCAGAAGCTTAAGATCATTCTAGAAAGTACTTTAATTAGTGTCTTACTATATATTCACAGGCATTACCTTATTTAATATTATTAACAAAACAACATAAACCTTTGAAATCTAAAAAAAAGGAGGAGTTAAATAATACATGTAAAAGTTCAAGAATTATCACTAAGCACATCATGACTAAACTCCTAGTAAGAGAAATTTAAATAGAATGAGGTATTTTCTCTTCTATCTTACTTCCTACTTGTATGCCACAGTGAACACGAGTTACAAGTTGTGAATCTACTGGTTCCTACTCTACCTCGGCTACCTGTGCCTCTTACAGGATGTGTAGGGCTGAGTGTAAGTCTAGTACATATGAGCAAATGTTTTCTTGTAACAGCCTAACCACAGTCAGTCGACTGTCTTCTGGAGCTTGGCCTCAATGACATATCCAAGTGCTGAAGCAAAACCTCGTATGTTGATAGAAAGATAGTATGTAGGCCTCTAATCCTTCCTCAAGCATTTGTCAAAGGTAATTTTAGGAGCTGGTGGCTCATGCCTGTAATCCTAGTTACTTGGGAGGCTGAGATCAGTTGGATCACAGTTCTAGGTCAGCCCATACAAGTAGTTCATGAGACCCCCCTCAACTCCAAAATAACCAGAGCAAAATAGACTGGAGGTATGGCTCAAGCAGTAGAGTTCTTGCTTTGCAACTGCAAAGTCCTGAGTTCAAACCCCAGTCCCACCAAAAAAAATAAAAAGGTAAGTTTGACTATGAATAATTTTTGCTTTCCACCTGAACCCCAGAACTAAACTTCGCCTAGGATGTAGCTCCACTGTTCTCTCTCATCTGAAGTATAAAAGCTCCTGCATTGGAGTCAGGAATGACAGATCTCACCCCAGCTCTGCCAGTAACTAGCTGTGTAATCCTAGGCAAGGAACTTTCACCTGTGAGTTTCAAGTCTCTCAAATATAAAATGAGGAAACTGGTTTAGATGGTCTCCAAGTTTCCTAAAATATTTAGCTTTTTTATGAATCCATCTATGGATACTTTTTCATAAATGGCTAATCTCTTTACCTGAAAATGTAATTTGTTCTCTAATGGTGAATAACACAAATTAGCAGTCACAGCTCAGAAAATTAGCAAGATTTTTCAATACTGATGTATTGATTACAGGGTCTGGTGATTTTCATCTTTGCAAGTGAAAAAACTGAAAATTTTCACTTTAACACTTCTATTTCCCCAATAATGAAAAACAATCAGCAATAAAGTCATTAAATTATAGATCAATGTTGGAAGTAGGTGTGATTAAAATCAGTTTTTTCAAATACACTTTTAATCCTATACTCTGCAAGGTAATTTAAAATGAAGACTTTATGCCAATAAAATGCAAAACCAGGAAAAGGAAAAAAAAAAGAATTGCCTTCTCTGACTAAAAAAGTTTTAATTCACTATCTAGAACATAAACATTAGAACATTATGTAAGAGACTGGCTCTATTTCCACCTCTACATTTTACCAACACAGGCATACACAGACTTGCCCTCATTCTCATGTGCTATTGCAGTTTTGCAAATCTGGCTGCGCATTAGAATTATATGGGAAGCTTAAAGGATAAAACAAACTTTCTGCTGAATAACAGCTCCAACAACAACTGGATCACAGTCTGAGAGGACCCCAGACATAAGAGTTTTGAAAAACCTCCACATGATTCTGACATGCAGCTACATGTTAGCCCCTCCGTTATGAGAGAGGATGATGGGGAGGGTTTGTTTTTGAAGTGATGGGTAGACTCAAGCAAACAAGGAGGCTTAAGTTCTGTCTTCACTCAAAAACTACTAAAATTAAAAACTCAAGGATATATGGATCAAAATAGTAATAAATAGTTTTGTATTTTTAAATAAAAATATTTGAAAACTCCTGGTAACTTTCACTCAATATACTTGAACATGTATTTCCATCAACATATGAACATGTATTTCTGTCAACTATTTCACTAAATAGTGACCTAAATACAAAATGATTTCCACTACACTAACTTTTCTAAGTTCCATAGTTTATAAATATTTAACAGGTATGTCCCTAAAAAGTAGACAGTACATACATTTTAGAAATCTATACATCATTAAGTGTAACAATAGCAGAAAATAAGTACTGTACCTGCAAAGTTGTACGTTATTGATAAGATAAAGTATACTTCCATAACAGTAGGAATCATTAGTAAGTAGAAAACATATCAAGATTTAAGAAAAGACACCTTTAAAGTCACCTTGGAATGCTGAGTAGGTAATCCAAAGTGACACTTAGCTCATCCATATTTGTCTGTTCAAGGCATAATGGAATTGTCAGAATGAGGCCACTTCGTCTGTCCTTTCCTCCTATAAAAAATATGTACATTTAACATGTAATAAATATTAAGATGTATACATAATTAAATAGGTTACCTTAAAAATTACAAGCTTAAGATATAATTTGAAAAATACCTAATGGCTATTTGTAGTTTATAAATGTTTATAGTAGTTCAGCAAAATCAGAGAAATTTAGAAAAAATTCACCCATGAAATCTTCACCCAAACACAGAAGTTATCACTTTAACTTTCTTCCATTAGTCTGCCTCATAATGTAATCAATTTGTCAATGTACAATAAGCATTTGAAAATAAAATAAAATAAATTTCCACACAGGAAGAAAAGCCATGAGAAATAACAGTATGAAATATGACTATTTATTTGCTGTGTCATGAAAGTATGTTAAAATAGAGGCCAATAGGAAAAGGGGACCAGGAACTAGAGAAAAGGTTAGATCAGAAAGAATTAACCTAGAAGGTAACACACACGCACAGGAAATTAATGTGAGTCAACTCCCTGTATAGCTATCCTTATCTCAACCAGCAAAAACACTTGTTCCTTCCTATTATTGCTTATACTCTCTCTTCAACAAAATTAGAGATAAGGGCAAAATAGTTTCTGTTGAGTATTGAGGGGATGGGGGGAGAGGAAGGGGGCGGAGTGGGTGGTAAGGGAGGGGGTGGGGGCAGGGGGGAGAAATGACCCAAGCCTTGTATGCACATATGAATAATAAAACAATAAAAAAAATGTTAAAATAAAAAGGGATTTAGCAAATGGAGAAAATCACAAAAAGCTGTGATAAAACATGAAAAGTGTCATACAACAGTTTAGACTTAAGGAAAATGGGCAGAATTTGTAAGCCAAGTCAAAAAAGCATTCTGTTATAAGGAATGACCTGAGTTCGTTTCAAAGGTCATAAATTATGGCATTTATTAATCATATAACAATAAAGAGAAAGCCCTGTCCAGCTAAAAAGAATGCATAGGACCTTGCAACTGAAGTCTAGGTAGTAGAACACACTTCAATTTCACATATGTTTAAGTCCCCTTCAGATTGCCCTAAACATAAAAATGCAACACTTAAACCCAGGTATGTTGGCATACACCTATAATCTCAGAGACAGGAGGATCAGGAGTTCAAGGATTAGAATAGCAAATGCAAGGCCAGCCTGAGGCACGTAGCAAAAACAAAAACAAAAAAGACAAGGGATAGGGATAAAGAATAGTGGTAGAGCAGTGGCCTGTCATGCACAAGACCCTTGGTTTGCCTGTAATTCTAGCTATTCAGGAGGCAGAGAGAGGGAGGATAAATTCCAGCAAAAAGTTAGCAAGACCCCATCATAATCAATAAATTGGGTTAGATAGCCTGCACCTGGGGTCCCAGGAATGTGGGAGGCCCTGCGTGGGAGGGTTGCAGTCCAGACTGGATGGAGGGGAGGGTAGAACACATGACCCTCTCTAGAAAACAGTTAAAAGCAAAAGAAACTAGAGGCGTGGCTCAGGTGGCCAAGCACAAATACAAGAGCCTGAGTTCAAACACCAGTACAGAGAAAAAAAAATCTAGATGCCTGTGCCTGTTAGTCAATTGTTAACAATTACATTTTTACTTAAGAAGAGAGATATGCAACATCTACCTTATAAAGGTCATTTTAATCAAATTACAGGACAGAATAAAAACTGCTTGGTCAGAATCAACAGTAACATTTAGCTCACACAGCTATCCCATTCTAACTAAAAAAAATGCCTTACATAAAAAAATTTTCTTAACACTTCATAGAAGAATAAAATGTATTTCTGTCAAACTTATCAAAGAAAAGGAGTTTAAACAAACTCACGTCAAAACACTTCTATTTTTAGAAAACGTACCTGAAAGGAAGGCCAGCTTTTTCTTCAGTATGGGTAATATTACTGAGGCCTCCATTTCACTCCAGTAAACTTCGTCACTTCTGAAAACACAGAGTTAAATGTCAACTACAACATAACAATTATTCTATGAAATAAGTACTTAGTTTATCCCAGGGTTTCTCAAATGAAAACTACTAATATTTTGGGTTATAAGTCTTTTGTAGGGAGTTGTCCTGTGCATTGTAGATCAGATAGCAGCATCCCTGGCCTCCACCCACGAAGTACCAACAGCACCGCCCTCTCCCATTGTGACAGCCAGAAGGGCTCTAGACAGTGCCAAATGTGCTCTGGCAGGCAAATCACAGCTGCCTGAGAATCACTGGCTTAAAGCAATACCTCTAGGCTAGAATACTGTCTGGTATACAGCAGAATCTCAATAAATTTGTTGAATGAATCAATTAATCAAGCAAGCAAACAATCTTCTATTGCTCTTCTTATTTATTAAGCAACTTAATTCCAAATATCTGCTTCCCTCTGTTCTGGTATTAGTAGCCTTTTCTGATTTCTCACATTTTTGCTTCCTCATAACAAATGGTAACACAATGACCCTCATGTTTACCTTAAGATACTTCTCAATACACTGTTTTAAGTTTTTGCCCCCATGTCTCACATTCTATAGTTTTAAACTCTTCAGGGGAAAATGTCTGATTTAGCTCAGTTCATCTTTTTGTGCCAAACCATAACTGACTGTTCTTGGTTTGGTCTTTCAGGGTCCACTTGGTCACAGTCAGGGTTAATGACTAAAAAGGGAGTACCCACATAACAAATGCTAAGAGCAAAACAGTTTTCCTTAAATGGAGGCTTTGGCACAGCAGGCATTCAGAGACTTGGGCAGCCTACTATACTACTAAAACAGGATTTGAGGAGAGCAGAACCTTTAAAATAAAGCAAGCTAATCAAAGGCTCAATTACACTACTTCTTACACTTGGCTTCAGTCTGAGAGAATACTCTCTATCACATTTTTATCTCTTCCTCCTCTATAGATTTCATACTTACCCACCATCATCATGCAGGACAGTTCCTTGGAGTGTATTGGTAAAGTAAGCTCTCTGAAAATAATTTTCCAAGCAAATGGAAGCTATGACTCTTTATACAACATATCCTGCAAACACCTGCTATGAACTAGTCCCATTTCAAGCACTGTATTATCAGCTAAGGCTGAACACTCAAGTCACAGCCATGTCCTGTATAAAAATGTAGTCTTTAAAAAAATCCTAGATATTAAAATATATATACATAAATACAGATATGTATATATGTACATATATATATATATATATATATATATATATATATATACACACAGTCTTAACACAGATCACATAAAGGCTAATTAAGTAAGACTAATTGAACCAGTATACTATTTTATAGCTTTTGTGTGTACAATGAAAAAAAGCTCTGCCACCCTTTGCACCTATATACAAAGAAAGCATGCTGTCAAACTAAATGATACATTCTTCTCAAGTTTTATTCCTTAAGTACTTGTTTGCAATTTGTTCATTCATCTTTGTTCTACCTTAGCCCAGCTAACAGACAAGTAGTAGAAAGCAGAAGGAAAAACTAACATTTTACATCTTTTATCTAAAACCACTTGTAATTCATGTTTCCAAATCAGTATTTTAACTTGATGAGGTATTATCCAGCTAAACAAGAACTCAGAAAGCATGGGTGCATGTTTAGGGTCCTTTTTCCTGTGACCAGCTTGTTGAGAACCTGCTCGAAAGTTTGATTATAATGATTATGACAATAACATTTACCAAGTGTTTACTACCAACCTGCACTGTTCTAAATGGTTTCTTTCTTTTAAGGTACTTAATCTTCACAATATTTCTGAGGTAAGTGCCATTATTGTTTCCATTTCACAGAAGAGTGAACCAGGGCTCAGAAAAATTAAACATTGCCCAACATCACACAGGTAAAAAGCTGGGAAGCTCATACCCAGGGAATGTGGTTCCAACAAGACAGCTTTCACACCACACCAACAGTTTACCAAGAAAACAGCTCTGAAAATGTCCAGTCACATCTAGCCAATTAAACAACATGAAGCTCTCCACTATCTGCAAAATAAAAATACTTAGAACAGATATATGACTTAATAAAACATAATGTGCATTTAGTCTTTATCCTTGGTTTCTGGCACAGAACTCCTAAGACCCTTGGAATTTCCTGAGTGGTAGGACTTCTAATGAGGTGCATCCTATCACATCTCCTATTGTGACTTATGGAGGAGCCTCTATACAAGCTGTCAAAAAGACAAAACTTTGGTTAAAAAGTTGGAACTTTCAGCCCCACTCTCCCAAACTTGGGGAGGGAGGGAGACTAGAGACAATCACAATAACAAATGACTTCACCAATTGGTCCAGGTAGTGAACACCTGGAGGTACTGACAGGGTAGCAAGCCTGGAGTGGCACAGGAGGCTCAAAGGCTCCCCTCAATACCTTGCCACATTTATCTCTTCTATTTGGCTGCTCTTGAAATGTGTTCTTTATAGTAAGGAAACAGTTTTCCTGAGGTCTGTGAATCCCATACCTGAGGAGAGAGGAAGATCATGCAAACCCCAATGTGTAGTCCAGTTGGACAGAATGTGTGGTAACCTGGGGACCCAATATTTGCCACTGGCATCTGAAGTGAGTGCAGTCATGTGAATTAATCCCTTAAAACTCTGAGTTTGAACACTAATGCCAGAACTGTATTGAATTGAATTGTAGGATGTTCAGTTGGTGTCTGGAGAGTTGGAGGATTGCAGTGGGAGGGGAAAACCTTACATATATAGATAGAAGTATATCAGTACACCCACATACAGCTACGCACTGCCTTGATTTAAGGTAAGGCACTGCACTGCACTTTTCCCCACCGATGCCTTTACACTATTAACACAGTGTGAAGGACAAAAAAATACCTAAGATTTATTATAATAAATTTTTTGACCTCATGGACTTGCTGAAAGCTAGAATCAAGAGAACTACTGATCTAGGCTGTCAAAAGAGGATGCTTCGACAAAGGAATTTCAAACTTAGGAAGCAATACATATAATAGAGATCACTTAGTCACAGAAACAAAACTGGCTTCCTAAACAGCACAAATTCTGAACTGCCTTGAATCCCTTCCTGTGTTTTAGGCCAATTATTTCCTCCCTTCTCATCAATCCTATAAATTGTGCAACACTCTCCCTGGAAATATTTTTCATGCTTAAGTCAGCGAGAGTAAGTTTCTCTTAGTCAATGGATTGCAATAGGAAGCAAAAGTACAATTAAGAGTCTAGTAGACTGTGTTTCTGATCACTTCATGCTTCTTTTTAAAAATCTGTTGCCATTTATTTTTAATGAAAATGACCAATCAATGCATTGAGGTTTTAACCCTTGCCACAGTAAAATCCCATTAAATAGCAGCCAAAAGAGGAAAACATCTGAAATCTCTTAAGGTCCCCCAAAGCATAAGACGCTGTAGCTCCAGGTGACCAAAGGAGTAAAATGTATGAAACTGGAGCTTTAAATCAGGTTATTAACTTTATGCCAATAAATGCCAAAGTTTAATTTTCAGCATTGAGCTCTCCCTATGCCAAGAGAGGAATGGGAAATGGCTTCAGTCTCTTGTTCTAGCTTCACTTTAAGCAAACTGATATGTTGAGACAACCTTTATTTTCTGTCTCCTCAGAAATGTATTTTATCCTTTACTTTTTTACATAATCACTCCAGCAGGGCAAAATCCAATGGGTTTTTTTAATACAACTGGTTTTTCCCCTTTGAGAACAGACAGAAGGTAACAAATAGTTTAAAATAATGAAAAATAGAACTTTTGGAGTGTATAGACCAAGATCAAATGAATTGATTAATAAAATGTGAAGCAGTCAAGAGACAAAACAACAATGTTTACTCTTTATCTCCCTCCCTTATAGAGTCTCCTTTCTTATCACTCTCTTTCATTGTTCCACTAGAGATAAGTAAAAAAAAATAGATTACCATAACACTAGTGTAAATTTAGTTTTTCAAGTTATTTGTTTTAGATTTTCAAGTTTTTAGCACAGCCATAAAAAGAAGAATTTGATTCTCTCAGGTTATTTTAATATCTTGCAGAGTTAAAATGTATAAAACACAGGAAATAAAGGGAAAATCTTGCAAACTACAACCAACGACCACCATCTCCACAACAGGACATTAAATAATACATAGGTAATATGCACTCACTAATGGGATAGATACAGATCGCTACTTTTTCTAAAGAAAAGGCTTACTGAGCCCAAATTTGTGGATTAAACCCTCAAACAGGAATGAAGCCAGTAAGAGACATTTACCTGATATGAAATAATAAAAAGTAGTGGCAAAGAAAATGCAATTTAAAAAAAAATCTTGCCAAGTAAAGCAGACTAAGAAATGGAAGAATTAAGGAATTTACAACACGCTTAACAAAGAAAAAAGTAAGGAGCAAATACTTCAGCACTTTTCATATTTCATATATAGTCATTTAAAACAGACCTATTTAGCTGGGGTCAATGACTCACACCTGTAATCCTAGCTACTCAGGAGGATCATGATTTGAGACCAGACTAGGCAAATAGTTCTTGAGACCCTACCTCAAAAAAAACCCATCACAAAGTAGTTCTGGTGAAATGGCTCATGGTGTAGACCCTGAGTTCAAACCCTAGTACCACAAAAAATAAAATAAATAAAATAGGACCTATTTTTACCTTACAGTTTATGAAATACAAAAGAGACAAAAAGCCAGAGTTTACAACAGATGAGGTGACTTGGAGACTGGTAAATACAAAGGAAAATGCAACACTGGCTGCATTTTTACCTTCAATAAAAGAAGCACCTTATTTTTGGTTCTTAATATCTTAATATCATTTCTAGATGCAAAATAAATTCTACCTAAAACAGAGCACTTCAAAGATAGGGATGATAAATTCTGAGAACTAGAAATAAAAGGGAGACTAGATTTCCACAACTATTTGTAACCATCTTCTTCAATCACTTTTCCAAGATCTTAGTTAAAGAGGAAGGTAAGGGTAACTGAGCAGCTAAGGTGATATCTTGTCTTCC